CAGAAGCCCCAGGACTAAGCCGCATGCCTGATCCCATTCCACAGGGATCGCCAGGACAAACCCGGCTCCCCCTTTCAAATTCTGACATCCAGTCCTCTGCTTCCGTTGCATGTGCACTCGGTCCTCAGGGGTCCCAGGGGCGTGCAGCCAGTCGTTTGCCCGCCACACATGCCAGTCCCCTGTGATGTGAGTAGTTACTCTGCCTGCTCGGAGTCAGTTAGATGTGGGTGTTACAGACTGCCTCAGAGGGTGTGATGATACACGTCGAGGGTTTCCGAGGTATAGCATCAGGTCTCTTTGCTGCCAACGTACCTGTCAGGGGCTCTAGCTCCACAAGGTCAGAAGAGGTTGTTGCTAGGCGCCATCAAGTTGGTTCTTATGCAGTTGCTCTGGTAACAGCCAAACACTGCCGCCATGGGCAGGCCTCTCTCAGTTATTGCTGTAGGTGAGCATGGTGGCAGCCTCTGTCCGTCCATCTCCTTGAAGAGCTTCCTCTTTTTCGCTTCAGCCTCCCTGAGCATGATGCCCTTCTCCAGGAGCTGGTTGCTTCTGATCACAGGTACAAAGTATGTGAGACAAAGTCTCATCAGGCTCACTTCTAAGGAACATCTTGGCTGTACTTCCAAGACAGATTTATTTGTTGGTCTAGCAGTCCATGGTCTATTCAGTATTCTTCACCAACACCGTCATTCAAACCGTCAGCTCTTCTTCGGCCTTACTTATTCACTGTCCAGCTTTCAGAAGCAGGAAGCAATGGAAAATTCCATGGCTGGAGCCAGGGCTTTTGTGTTAGTCTGGCTAGACTAGAGAAACAAATACACAGACACACATGTATATAAGAGAGAGTTTTATATAAAGGGTAATTGTACATTAAGAAAACATCCCAGTCCAGGCCAAGGTCATAAATCCGAGATTAGCCCATATGTCTGACAACAATCTGTAAAGTCCTCTTCAGACTCACGAAACACATGCAATGACGCCTACTGTAGACCACAGGCCTGTGGGTAGAAAGTCTTTGGTGGTAGAAGCATCTCAGCGCTGGCAGGGGTCTCCACGTGGCCATTCCAGTTCCCAGGGCTGCATCAGGATAGGTCCATGTGGCATCTCCTCAGGGATGTCCCTCGGGAAGTCAGCCTTGTCAGAGAGTCTCCAAGAGAGTGAGCCAAGAGAGAGAGGTGTCTTCCGTCTCCAAGGAGGAAGTACCAGATTTCTCAGGAGAAGGCCATGCCCAGAGAAGTCTCCAGATTGGCTGTCTCCAGATTGACAGCCTAGACTCCACCCCTACACTCTTCATCCTTAAATTGACACCAGCTTGGGTAACTGCCACAGCTTTCTACTGTCATGAATGGTTACAGTCTCGAATCTCAGGGGCAGTGCTACCCTGCCCTCTAGGATCGCCGTGAGTCAGCATCGGCTGCACGGTAGTGAGTTGGGTTTGGGGTTTGGGTCAGGAGCCCCTTAGTCCTCAGTGCCGTCTCTGCACGTTCACACAGTAAAGCGGTCTTGTGCTTCAGATTTGCCCATCGCAATCTGTCATTTGGTTTCTTGCGTGTTCTTTCCATGGGCCTTGATTGCGGGTCCAAGTAAAGTGACATTTTCAAGCGGCACTTTATCATTTTGGCTTTCGGTATGCCGCGGCGTAATCCGTGCAGCAGGCTGAAGTATCGGAGCTTCCTCCGTAAAGGCTGCGGGTCCTCTTTGATTCCCGCCTCCAGGTAGCCTCGCCCATCGCAGGTCGTTAATGAGCCTTGCTTCCAATTTGATGCCGTGTTCCTCCTGTAGTCCAGCTTCTTGATTATTTGCTGAGCATCCAGACTGAGTTAAGTGTGGTTTAAATATATATATATATATATAACCCTGACAATACCTTTGTAACGTTTAACTTTCACAGTGTTCCTTTGTTCTGTGTACAGGTTCTTCGTGAACACAAGGGAGAATTCTGAGATTTTTGTTCTTCGCGATGCTATTCATAATGTGGTTCGACCCACAGAGGGGTATACCTTTGCACAGTCAGTAAACCGCATCTTCTGGTCTTCTCCCGTGAAAGGCTGAGATCTATCTGGCCTCAGCAGTGGCATCCCATGTATCACATCGTCACCTGAAGACGGTTTGAATTTCTGCCAGCGCCCTGGCAGACTGTTCTGCGACCATGCATTACCTTCAGGAACACTATTTTGGTGTGATAGCAGTACTGTTGCTTGCCGGTGTCTGCATCCTGTTGGCTCACCTTTCTTCGGACGAGGCACCAAGGGTCTCTGGCCGTCGGTTGGCGTGGTCGCTGTCATCCACACTTTGGGGCATCGACCAGCGACCACATCCATTCAGTGCTGCATCCATTTGTTGAAGCCTCTCAGCGGGGATGCCTTCAGTCCTGGAGTCTTGGTTTCCAGCAGCACCTTCCGGGCAGCGTGGGCTTCATTCTAACCACCCTTGAGTCCCAGCCACCCTCCTGCAGTGGTTGACCGTCATCCGGTGTTTGTGATGAGGTGACTCTGGGTCTATAGCCCTTCCATCTTTTGATGCTCCCTGCATCAGTCAGCATTGTGCCCTCACTCAAACCAAAACGCACCACCAGAGAGTCCATTTCAGCCCTTGGTGACCCTGCAGGACAGAGAGAACTCCCCTGTGGGTCTCAGAGGCTGTGAGATCTTAGAAAGCACACCGTTCTCTCGGGGCGCCTGGTGGGTTCAGGCTGCGGATCTTGATGTTAGCAGCCCAAGCGAAAACGCTGCGCCATCTTTCACGCAACCAGAGGCTTGACTTTGTCTCTCGGACCTTCAACTTGAGAAGTGGTGAACATGTTCTCCTGGTTTTCTAATTAACAGATCTTTGTACGTCTCCGTTTAATACTTTACTTTTTCTTCTCAAGCCACCATTTGAAACCCTCTGTTCCGCTCTTTGAGTTGCTCTTCAGCACACCTTCGCACTCTACATGCAAGAGCAGGTAGCCGTCGCTCTGGCAGCCATGGTGACTGCCCCGTGCGCCCTCCTCTGGTCTTATGGGATGACCAGACGCACAGTGACACGTTTCATCTCACCTACCACTCGCTGGTGCTTGCTCATGAACGTGCAGTCTGAAATCGACTCTCGATGTTCTCTACATCTCCTCTGGGTCCTCTCTTCGGCTCTGTTTTCAGGTTCTTCAAATTCAGCTTGTACTTACAGTTGTTGATCTCTCTTGCGTTTAGCCTGTAGCCGCCTTCTTACACGACTGAGAACTTCCATCATCTCCGATTGCTGTATATCTCATCAGGCGAGGTCTGTGTGTTTCGTCATTAGTTATGTTGTTGAACAGCAAGTTTGTTTGTTCTGAAGTATTTTCAGTGAGTTGGTTGTTGGACTTGGGGAATTGTCTCGTGGGATTTTAGGGTTATTTCTATCAACAAGGCCACGTTGTCCAGCGTCTAGTCCTTTTTCCTTACCTTCTGATCACGAGTCTGTTTCGGACTTCAGAGGTTGTAGAAATCGTTCATTTATTCACCTTTGGCATAAGTGGTTTGTGCATCAGCTTAGCTGTAAGTCATATTGACTGGTCTCTTCTAGGCCAGTGCCTGTTACTCCTCATTGACATCATTGTACCAAGGGTCAGCTTTTGAAATCTTCTTTTTGACAATCAATTCAATGTCTCCCTCTCTATACCCCACTCCCAGCAGAGTGGACTTCATGATTATCCCTTTCCAAGTGGCCAGCACGCTGCATTTCAGCTCACTCTTGCCCAGGGTGTTGATCTCCAAGTGTCCTGTTATGTTTTTGACAACTTCTAATCTTCCTAGATTTGTGCGGCGTGCATTCCACGTTCCAGTTATGAACCTGTCTCTGCCGAGGTGCTTTCCTCGTTTGAGGCTGTACCACACCAGCAAATAACGGCCCCAAGCGTCACTCTGTCCACGCCGCTACAGACAGCTCCTCGTGGTGCTTATCCGTGCCACTGTGTCAGACAACGCTCCGCCACTGGCCATAGCTTTTCACTGGCCTTGAGTGTTACTTTTTATTTTAAGGAGAAGATTACCAAATTCTTCCTCGTCTTTTTCAGTCTGGGAGCTGCACTCACACCTGTTCGCCACCCTGCTGGTCTTTGTAACCCCAGGGACCTAACCCGAGGCAACACAGCAACGTGGAAGCCATCGCAAGGTGACCAGCTGGCAGACCAATGGTGACCAGCTGTTTCTCGAGATGATGGCAGGCTTGCGGTTGCTTTACGAAGTTTAGTTAACATTTTGATCACCTTCACATTAGAATCTCCCGGGTTGAAAGTCACACAATCTGTTCCTGAAGTAAAGCACCCACAGCCTGTAGTTGTCTGCATATGCATGGAAATGCTCCTTAAGGAGCCAGTTAGTCTGTTCTAGTGACCAGTGACCCAGAAGGTGCTGTCTGTTGTGACACTGGACCAGGTCCGGCCTGCTGGGAGGACGGCTCTCTGAGATGGGTCTTGGGGAAGCGTAGTGCCCTTTGTCCTGGGGAGTTGACTGTGTTCTTCTAAGAACACTGGTGGCTCTGGTTGCGTTCACTCCGTCCAGGCAGGTGCAAGTCCTGGCCAATGCGCACCCCACATACACTCTGCCCCACGTGGTCTGTAAGCAACTCGGACGCTGAAGCAGTGTCAGTGGACTGTCAGAAAGGCCCAAGAGCCTATCTGCTGGAGAAAGCCGATCTGCTGGAGAAAGCCCAGTGAGTCACGAGAGTGTGACCCCACTGGGCATGGCAACTCCCAAGCTGGTGGTCTCCGTGGGAAGTGTAGGGGTGGCTCTGCCGTGGAGACCTGCTTGGTGTCCCTGGGACATGTGTCCGTCATGGGGAAGAGAACATGTCTCTGAAGGGCCTGTTGGGTTTTTATGAAAAGTACTTCCCAGATACTTTATGATCGCCCTTATCATCACCGCAGTTTCAGTCTGGGCCCACGCCGCTGAGCGGCAAGGGTGAGGTTTCCCCGCACGGTGGCAGCAGCCTCGTTATTGCCCGGGTACGTGTTCCTCACCGGCCTGTTCTTCCCTCCGCAGGACCTGTCCGGCTCCATTGACGACCTCCCCACGGGCACGGAAGCAACTCTGAGCTCAGCAGTTAGCGCCTCGGGGTCCACGAGCAGCCAGGGGGATCAGAGCAATCCGGCACAGTCCCCCTTCTCCCCACACGCCTCCCCGCACCTCGCCAGCATCCCCGGGGGCCCGTCGCCCTCCCCCGTGGGCTCGCCTGTCGGGAGCAACCAGTCAAGGTCCGGCCCCATCTCTCCTGCAAGTATTCCAGGTATTCCGCTTCTCCTTCTCGACTCACGGGGGGACACAGTGCGGCCTGGGGTCAGTCCACAGACCACTTCCGGGGTGACCCCTACAGCTCCTGGGAGCCCGGTGCAACTTGGCGATGCCACCAGAGCGCCTGGGATCCCGGTTCCTAAAGACTCGGCTCTCCCAGCCCTGGGTGGTCTCTGCGCATGCTTACCCTGGGGGCCCTGGTGACAGAGTGGGTTATGTATTGGGCAGCTAGCAGCAGGGTCAGGGGTTTGAAACCACCAGCCACTCCAAGACAGAAAGATGAGGCTTTCTGATTTGTGCTCTTGGAAACTCACAGAGGCAGTTTTCCCCTGACCTATTGGGTAAGTCAGCATCTGTTCAATGGCAGTGAGTTGGGGGCGGTGGGCGGTTAGGGGTTGGTTTGTTTGTTTGGTATGCCTTTGTGATGAATCTGCTAAATACAGTCTTTGTTGGTAAAGGCCCCTAAATTGGCTTAGTAGAGAGATGTCTGAGTAGGATTGGCTGCTTGTCGTTTATTTGTTGTTATGGTCCTCAGTATGTGCGAACCCCCGATTTTGCAGCATTGTGTTTGTAGGATTTCTGCTGACCAGGGCCGTAATTTGCAGCACCCCCTCAAGGCCTCCTCACCCACTGAGCTCTGGCTGCTTTGGGGTGTACAGGTCATGTTCCCATCAGCCCGTGTATTCCGACGAGGCGCCCCTTCTGAATCGGGCCTCGTTGGGGTTATTGTCTTTGTTCGTGATCACATGGCCGCCCTATGTCAACCCTTCGTCCACGCCAGCCCACCAAGCCA